TAGTTTCAGAATTTGAGANCTTTTCACATTCCGTAAGTGTCAACCACCCTTATTCTTCAATGGGCGTATCCTTAAATTAGTTGGAGTTACGGTTATTAGTTTCAGAATTTGAGAAAATTATCGGTATAAGTCTAGACATATTATTAATATAAGAAAGTGTGGGAAAACACCTTTCAAAGCTCATGACATAACATATTACACCATACTGATTTGCTAAAAGTGTGTGTGAATTCTACTAGAGCCCAAGACTCATTCAAATGCTTCAATTTTTGACTATCATAAGTAGGTTTACTACTTTACTCATTAGGTTGAAGAATTTAGTTTTCTAACCCTTGACTGAAGTGGGTAGTTGCTTCCAATGTTGTCTTTCTTAGACTAGTACTGGTATGTATTAAAAAAAAATGTNTATTAGCTTGAAGAATTTAGTTTTCTAACCCTTGACTGAAGTGGGTAGTTGCTTCCAATGTTGTCTTTCTTAGACCAGTACTGGTATGTATTAAAAAAAAAATGTTACTTGAACTCAAAATACTGTTTTGTTGATTTGATTAATTACAACCATGAAATAGACAGTGAGACCCACAATTACATCAATGACAGTGATTGATTAAATCAGCGAAGTGTAAATATACACTCATTGAGACACTCAAAATCATACTATTAATGTTTTCAAAACATTTCCATACACTGGTGAATAAATTTCAGTTTTAATAATTGATTATTTTGTCAGTTTGGAGAGGTTATGTAAATATAGATTCAGAGGCCACGGCCAAGTAGAGTATACCCTAATGAAACTGCCAACGAAATTGAGATCTTTTTTCTAACAAATATTTTCTTACAGATTGAGAGACGAAGTGAGAAAAAAATTACGATTGATTGGTGAAATACCATACAAGCATATAATCTCTCACCCTCTATTTAGTCAAAGCATTGCATTTGTGTGATTCACAAGGATCATATTATTCGATATTCTTGTGTGCATCAAAGGTAATCAACTCTCTTCTCATACATGTTTGTTTTAGTTTTTCACATTAATAAATACCCTTTTTTTTTTGTGACAACTCTCATACGTATTGGTCTCGCTAAAATTGATGATGAATATCTACCATCGATTGAAATTGAGAAAACATGTATTTATATCTTCAATCCACATCGCAAATATCATTATCAACCCTTTGAAATTTTAGCATTCATTAATTTTACTTATTCATTTATTGAAGAAAAAAGCAAAAGTCAACACACCCCAATCATCATCTGCCATCTACTCCACTTGGAATGTTCCAAATTAATTCAATTTTTCTTCACCATCTGCCACTATTGACACAATCACTCCTTAAATTAAAACAATAACCTCCTAATCAAAAAAAAATTAAATAATCAAAACACATAATTTATATCTTGTCTCTTTTCTGTCTAGATTTTCATGCTACTAAGCTTCAAATGTGAATGATCATTGCTTCATTTGATTCTCTCACTGATACATAATAAGTTTTGACCAATTCTAACTACTGATCCATTCCTTCTGCTATATTTTATTAATTACAATTTTATATACCTTGGCATTTCTAATTATATGCCCCACCATCTACCTATCTGATAAAATAAGGAGAAAGATAAAGCAAAGACCTTTTTCCACTTTGATTGTTATTTTAGCATATTTTCAATGGAATCATCAACTATCACAAAATTATAAAGTATTCACACGTTGACGCGGTCATGCAAAGATGTATAAAGTAAAGTTACACATAGTATATAAAACTCTCACATATAATGTCGTTTTTGAATAAGTAAGTGGTACGTTGTCTTATCTCCCCATGTTGATCTTTCGGATTAATGAACATTTGTCATCGCTCTAGATCCAAGCTCTTTGTGCAAGGGTATATACTTCCCTTCTATATCCTTCCAGTTGAAATATTTTTCAAAGGTATAAACTTTTACCAAGTCTTTGTTCACCTAGTCAAAGTCTCTGAAGACCCTTTACTTCATCACATTTCTAAATTTGTGCAGAGAGTGAGAGTGAGAGTGAAAGTGAGAGTGAGATGAGAGACCCCATTGTGGGTGGGGTACAGTTGAGTTTGTTCTTATACAAAGAATGCAAATGCAAAGGGATTGATCTAACCTTTCAAGGCATGAATTGAAAAAGATGGTATTATTGGACTACTTTCTATTCAACTCAAATGTCTTGCTGAAATATGAATTTGCCTTTTAGACTTGACTTGCTATGTACAACTTTATGGATGGATTTCTCCTCCTTCTATTATGACATATTGGATGTTCACCCTACCCTACGAGTAAGAAATATGCTCTTTTATTTTTCTATCCGATACTTTGCGGAAGAGTTTTTTCTTGGCCTACCCTACCTGACAGGTATGGTATTCCTACCCGATTAATCGGGTAGAAAATCGGGTAAACATTTTTGTAACAATTAATTTTTGGATCATTTTAACAATTTAATTAAATAACATGCACTAATTTAACATCACAATAAATCAATTAACACTAAAATCTAAAACAACTACAACAAGAATTATAATAAAACACAAAAAAGTATGAACATCAATCCACCATAATTGTTACACAAATACATTAACAATTAATTTAAGTTTAAACTTTAAACCATATGAAATATATTAAAATTATAATTGCTCTGCTAGGGTTTAGGATTTTTTTTAGTTTATATATATATATATATATATTGTGGGTAGGGTACGGTAAGAATGTAAAAATGGATACCTATTCCGCATTCCTACCCAAAAATTATCGAAAAACTAAAAAACTCTTCCGCATTCCTACCCGATTTTTGCGGCTAACGGTTCAGTAGGGTAGGATAAGAATTTACAGTCGGTCAGAAATTTAAACACCCTAATGACATATTTGAACTTTTTTTAACTGAAGAACCATTCCAATTGCACGTTCTTTGAACTCATGGTTATTTTTTAAACTCAGAACGCGCAATTGCCCACAAACCACCGGGCCTATCAAGGCGTCCCTCGCTATAGTCAAACTTAGATTGACCGCCGAACTCTAGCTTCGCAGTTACGCTACGAGTTTATATTCAGTTTTTCCTATAATAAAAAGCTTGGCTGAGGACAGTCTTTGAGAAAAAAACCCATCATCAGCAAATGTGGTTCTACTTCATCCAAGATGGACAACCATTACTTATGGGGAGTTGATTTTCTAGAAGTTGACAGGCAAGGCAGACACAAACTGATGAAAATCAGAAATCTTCTGTTCTATTGATGAATTTTTTTCTTCAATCTCAATTATAACAGCTATCCCAATCACTTACAGGTTGATTAAGTAATATGTAATTGGTAACTTAAATCCTCCAAATCATGTGTTCTTTAAACCATGGGTATAACTCAGTCACCTCAAATCATGCGCATCAAAAAGAGTTTAGAGACTCAAATTCAAGACATGCGACTTTACACCTCGCATCTTTGCTCGATCATTGAACCAATCAGTTTAGGTTCTGTGGGATATTTTCTCCACCAGACTGCAGCTTTTTCTTTTTGTTTCTTAAGTGGGTGGTAAGAGAAGATGAAAGCAATAAGCACTAAAAATCACATCAAGGTGATGTCACACCATGCAAACTCATCTTCACAGCAAAGTTTTATGGGTTTCTGGGGGGAAATTGCTGAGGCTATTATCCATGACTCTCGAAAACCACCATAAAGAAGGCTAGTTTAAACATAAACTCACTAAAAAGGCTCCAAAGTAAGCAATGTGGGTGGTGATGCTACCTTGCCAAGAGTTGATTGTTGGTAGTTCTAAGTCTCCTTTACTGTATAGATTTGCTGTGCCTGGACAATATGCTGCTTTGAATACCAGTTGAAGGGCCAAAGGAGCGTTTCCCCGGTTGTTCATACCAGCAAAGAGCAAGGCACATAGACTCATGGATGTCAAACAGTAGATGAGGTAGATTAAAGTGGAATCACAAACCCATATAATAATTGAGTTCCTGAATGGATGTTGATTTTGTATGTTGTGTTTGAGGTGGTTTGGATCCATCTGGTGGCACGTTTCATGCCTCGTCTGTTTATAATGCATCTGCTGTGTATATAGTGAGCCCAATGCACAAGACTTCTGCAACTCTGTGTCTGTAAAAGGTCTGATGTACACACTCTTACCCCATATGCAAGTGTCTATTTTCATCATTTAAATCTATGACACTCGGGCTCACAATGTAACAATCTTACCACTATACCAAAGCTTGCACTCAAAAATAATGTAAAACTACGATTTGGCACCAAAGGAATGCTACCTTATCAAGAGCATTTTCACAATTCTGAAACATCTAATTTCAGATATACAAACCCCCTCCCCTAACACTAGCCAATCAGGACTCCCTTCACTGGCAAACAAGAAATACCAGGCCAAAGAGAGAAAGCTGAAACAATCTTTTTCAGAGGGGCGGCGAAGGAATACACAAAGGCAGGTTTCAGAGCTCAATAAAGCAGATGAAGACTTCCAATGCATATAGGTAACTAACCGCCTGTTTTGCCGGAAAGTATAATCAGCAGCCAATGGGCAGCAACGGCAAGTTTGGCAAGCTAACTGCTGGGAGAACGGTTAGTGTACAAACAACTGAGGAAGGCGGTCCAGGTGGCATAAAATATAGGTAATCTAATGAATGCTCGGATGCTATGCCGCTTGATTAAGGTTAATAAGTTAAATGACTTTTGTATGAAGGTGATCTAGAGAAAATTAAGCAACAAATCAGAAACAATAGTGCAATAGATGCTGCAAACAGTAAAAACATACTAAAAAAGGAATGCTTGCCCAGCAGTGACTAGTGAGATGGCCATGAAATAAAGGTTAAACCCAAAACGGAAATCCAGGAATAGTAATGAGAAAGGTCATACTTGTATTACCTTCTCTCTGGTTTTCGATATGGTTGCGTATTTTCATGGAGACCCATTAACATTTTTCTCCAATGGGACATCTTCAAGATCAACTTCTAGCATTGCACATTGATGAAATGATATTAATAATATCATTGTGTCCTCCCCAACAAATTGGATCCAGTGATTGAGGAGCCTTTCTCAAGTTTTCCTGTCATGGTACTTCTGCAAAAACCATTTAAAAGCAATTGAAACCATCCAAAATTGCAAAACTAGATCAAATTATGGAAAATAATGGCTTATCAAGCAAGGGACAAAATCATTGGAAAAAAAAAGGAAACAATCTTGACACTCAGGCAAAAGAAGACGACCAAAATCATTAGACAGATTCAAAATGGGAACAGTTCGATCACTTGGGGGGGGGGGGGG